TTTCTTCTTTTAGTTCTTCTTGTACGAACTGAACATTTCAGTCAGTTCATAGGTCCCGTTGTAATTCAGAACACACATTGTGTAACAAGTCTTTCATCGAAAGATTCTTCTTTTTTCTTTTCCCTTCATTCTTCTTTGCAGAAAACGAAAAAGAAGATAGTTTTCGCTTTCTTTTGTTCTTCAATTTACCAAATTTGCGCATTCTTCATTTGTTAGATAAGATTAAAGGTGTCAACCGATTGAGTCAAGCTTGAGCTTGTTATTAGAATATTCACTTGTGAGTTGTCTCACATCGTTTATATAGGGAAAAAATATGCTTAATTTATAAGTTTAATGGACTACTCCTCTTTCCACCAATTGGTCTTGAGATAGAATCTCATTGGTTCATCTAGGTTTTATCTGTCTTGGTGCGCTTCATATGCGTGGGGTCGCACTCGTTTTTTCCCCCATTTCTTACACTTATGATTCGAGCTCCGCTCGAGCCTTTATCGAGTCAATATAAAGATATTCAACTTGGCTCTGATGAGTTGAATTCAAGTTTTAACAAATCGAATTATGATAAAAAATCAGAAAATCGTGTCTGTTTTGAAGCACTTGAGTAAATGTCACTTTCTTAAATGCAATTTTCAAAATGAACTTCTCCCGAACTTCTCCAAAATGAACCATTTGGATCAGAAATTCTATGGTGCCACATGTGGCACATGTTATGATGCCACAACATGATGTGGCACATTATGATTGGTGCTACAACATGATGTGTGATAGTTGTGGCACCAATCATAATGTGTCACATCATGTTGTGGCACCATAATATGGTGCTACATGTGGCACCATAGAATTTCTGCATTTGGATTACCAACATATCATAAGTCCATTTCTAAATTAGTATCCAATATTAATTATTTATGCAAACGGATTTTTGCATCCAAAAATCGGTTTGAAAAGCGCTTTAACGAGCAAAATTTGACCTTGCTCGTTTACTAGATGGGCTACAACTCTACTTATTATCGAACGAATCGTCAAGATAATGAATAATTCATTTTTTTTAGCAAGGAATCCCCATTGTATATTAATTCAGAATGTGCTGAGTTTAAGTAGCAAACTAGCATGTTTTGGGATTTTATATAGCAAAATTATATGCTTTGAGCTTGAGTAAATTTAAACTTACTTCTATCTAAAAATAATTAGGTTCGAATTATCCATAAATATGTTAAATATTTATGATCATGTTACATGTATTATTGCATTTTAATATCATTTCCTATTATAACCATTTAATTGTAAATATATTTTAAAAGTTAATAACTTTTGTATTGTTTATCAGTTTTACATATATAATATATCAAATTAATCATCTTTTGATGAGTTTCGATTTAACATCCATATTGTATGTATAAAAAAAATAAATTATATTTATCTTTATAACAATAATAGAATTATTTTTAATATTAATTAAAAATTTAAAATTATTTATCAATTAATATATTTATATTTCAAATAGTTATATGATATAAGTTATAAAAAATTATTATAATATAACACATATAAGTCATACAATAAGTGTCATTCTAAAATATATAATAGTATATATTCTTTGTAAAAAAAAGTAAATATAATTAACATAATTTTTCTCATTAATTTTAAAATTTAAAATATTTTTTAACAAAGACACGTGCAATAAAAAAGTAAATAAAATTAATACACAAGCATTGTACTAGTTGTTTTTATATATGAAAAATGAATGAAATAAAAAAAAAAAAAAAGGAAAAAGAAAGGGGTTTGTTTTTAATTTGATTAATCAGTTACACGTTAAACCCTAACTTCTGATTCTGAAAGCCCCAAAACGGCCATCGATCTCTCTTCTTCAAGATAATTAAATTACTCTGCCATTGTTCACTCTAGCAAACAATTCTGCTCTTCTTCTGTGCCTCTGTTAAAGGTATGCTCTCTCTCTCTCTCTCTCTCTCTCTCTCTCTCTCTCTCTGTGTGTGTGTGTTTAAT